AATGTCAAAAATCCAAATCAAAGATGGTGCTTTTGTGAATCAGATCTGTGGCAGCTTTACATGATTTCAGGATTTCCTAGAGGCATACAGTGTTGTCCAAATTTTAAATTTCTTAAAACTATAAACACAAATGTAAAACATGCTGGAAATGTAAAATTGTATACCTTTACTTGCTGTGATTTATGGTGATTACACATTTTCAATCTGCAATATCATTTTAATACTGTTTGTATGAAATGTACATTTACATGTACAGTATACTATCAAGCAAATTACAAAACAAAATAAATACAACAACTATATATTGAAAAGTCATACAAATAAAGTAAACTATGTGTGGTGGCTGGTTGTTCTTAAATTTAACAAACTTGTGTAAATGTAAAACTGGAAAAAAAAATGTTTTGCCAAGATACAAGAATATCAGAGCGAGGGAGGATTTTGATTGGTTGATGATTATGAGGTTGCCATGTGAGCCATAAGGCGGAGTAAAGACCTGCTATCATCAAACAAAAAAGAGTTTGTGTAGTGTTTTTCCCATTCAGCTCTGAGAAAGATGGAGCTCTATGTATTTATGTTCATGCTTGCTGCACTTGTTTCTTCTGAGAACAAAGGTAAGTCAGTGGATTATCACTAATCATTTGTTAAAAAACACAATTTTCATTATCTTTAACTGTATTCAAGGAATACTGATATGTAATATACGTCCTGAAAGGTTAAAAGACTGCCATGAAAATATTTGTTTTGTATTAATATTAAATTTTTTGAATATCATAATATTCTGTAATCAGACAAGGCTGAGACAGAAAAATCTAATTTCAAAAATTGTGAGCAGTTTATGCTTATGTAATTTTAATAAAAATTGAGCAATCATTGTCAAAAATCATGCACATGCAAATGGTATGAATGCATCTCATATTCAAACAGTCCTTGTTTAAATTTCTCATGTAGTTTGTCTAGACTGATAATGTACTGTTATATTGAGCTAATACTTTTTTCCTGTTTCAGTTGTGCATAAAGATTTCTATTTAACGGGATGCTCTGATACAGAGAAAGAATATATGTATGGAATGGATGGAGAGGAACTGGTGCATGCAGACTTCATTAAAGGAGTAGGAGTAATTACTCAGCCTGACTTTTCAGATCCCCTCGGCTATCCTGGACTTTATGAGCAAGGCTTATCTGACATGCAAGTTTGCAAAGCAAACTTAGCTGTATCTATCAAAGCTTATAAAAATCCACAAGAGAAAACGGGTAGAATATGCATTTTAATCATATTTATTTAATTGTGTGTAACAACTGTATAACAATTTGGTTTAAACAAATGGTTTAATTCTAAGTTTGGTTTAAACAAATTGTATCTCAAATGCTTAAAATAATAACAGCTTCCATGTCTTTGCCTGTGTTATCAGACAGACCTCAGACTTCCATCTATGCTGAGGAGGATGTGCAGCTGAATGTTGAAAACACCCTCATCTGTCATGTGACTGGATTCTTCCCTCCACCTGTCAGAGTCTCATGGACTAAAAACAACGAGGCTTTAAAAGAAGACAGTCTAAGTCAGTATCGCCCAAATGATGACGGCACTTACAACATCTTCTCCAGTCTGCCGTTCACACCTGAAGAGGGAGATATTTACAGCTGCACTGTGAACCATGTAGCTCTCGATGAACCTCAGACCAAAACATGGGGTGAGTGTGTGGTTTTATAGAATCACTTGACTTATTGATTTCTATTATTTATTTCCCAATTGTTTTCTTTAAATAATAAATACAAATATGTATATATTAAAATAAAATGTATTATTGATGTGAAAGATAAGAGTAGCAGCCTAAAATATACATATGAAACACTTTACATTGTGGAGATATAACATTAATAAAGTCTACATTATTAAAAATGCATAAACAAAATGGTTGTATATGTGTGTATCCTAGAAGTGGACGTTGCTGTGCCTGGTGTTGGTCCTGCTGTGTTCTGTGGAGTGGGTCTGTCTCTGGGGCTGCTGGGAGTCGCTGCTGGAACTTTCTTCCTGATTAAAGGAAACAACTGCAACTGACATCCCAGATATGGAAGCAAACTTTGAAAAGAAATTGTATATAGTGTGTAACAGGTCCTGCAAATAAAGCCAGTTTCATTTGGCTACAATGAAATTTAAAACAGTAATTCTGAGCATCATTCTGGTGACAGAAAACATCTTAGATGTTATATAGAAATAGATTCATAGACACATAAATTTCAATATAATCTTTAACAACATTAATATTGCCTGATATTTCTACATCTTTGTTTGAAATGTAACACCATATACACTTACATACAGATGTCTAAAAGGCTTTAAATGATAGATGATCTTTTTGCTAATACATCATATTTTCAGCTCATCCAAAGTGATTATGGACTTTTAATTTGAATACTTTTATCTGTTAGTTACTCTCTGGTTGAGCTCTTATTGTCTTCCTCATTGATGGATCAATTAAAGTCTTTTTAAACAAACATTTTGGCATCCTTAAAAATTGTGGTACTGTGTGCTTAAAAATAAGGTAGAAATTTTTACATTTGGAAATTTCCTGTCATTGTAATCAATTTTAAGTCAATTTTACAAGGACTACTTGTACATTTTCTGACATACACTCCAAATAAAGATTCTCTGTTTTGATTTCACTTGTGATTTTATATTGTGTTGTCATCTATATAACTGTTTCAAGGCAAAGTAACCTCAAAAGCCTATTAGATGTGGCTGTCCATTAAACAACAGACAGATGGCTGTATGTGTTGAAAGACAGAGGAACAGACGAGAATAGAATAGACCAGAGGATAAAAAACATGATATTTTAGAATGACCTACATAAATATTGGAGCCAATATCGAGATGTATGCTTTAGGCAGCCGCTTTTATCCAAAGTGACATTGCATTCAAGGAACAAATATTATCAGTTCTTGCAGTCTGAGCTACAGGAAGGCTACATTTCTCTTGAAATAGTTGAAATCCTTTCATTCATCTTCTGTATAAAATAGTGATAATAAAGAGAGTTCACTAAGGTTTAACCAGGCCTCAACTAATCACATAAATTCCCCAAAATTTACTTATATCAGGCCGCTCCTTACAGAACTTTTTGTCTCGTTTTCCCGAACCCACCCTTCGCCTCCCTCTCATCCATTCAACCATCCTTCCCATCCCCTCTTCCCTTCCCTTCCAGGTTGCATCAGGGGGTCTTAATTGCTTGGCCTATAAATAACAGATGATACCCATGCCCTGAGTCTCTCCGGGCCACTAACACTAGACGCCCAGATCAAACTGACTATCATCCTATTTCCCCTTCATCCTCTCACTATTAATCCCTAACATACTATTCAATATATGAATTCTTCAACATTCATGGTTTTGGCATGGCCTTTATTTGTGAATAAGACATTAATAAAATAATAAAGAAAAATAACCAATGGTTTCACTAACAGTTTGAAGAGGTGCTGTGCAGTATTTTTTTCCAATTGATTTTATACCTTTCATCGAACTGTTCAATGCTCTCTAAACAGCACATTCAGCTAAAAACGTAAACAGATATAGTAAGATTTTATTCATTTCAATCACATTCCAAATTACATAGAGACTCCCCCACATGATTGTAAAGCGCTTTGGGTGTACAACAATACACAATAAAACGCTATATAAATGCATCATTCATTCATTCATACATACATCAGTTTCTCAAAACACTGCACAGAAATATCTCCAGTTTTACAGCCAACCAAAAAAAATAAAAAATATTGGTTTCTCCTAGCCAATCCTCCTTTCTCCTAAATCACGTTTCTCCTAACACAACAAACCATTCTTTGTATTTGTCATATTCGTAATTGCACATTCAATTGAAATCTGTCGTGTTAGTAATACACACAGCACATGAAGGAAATGCACTGAACTGTTAACACCGCAATTCAAATTTTAGTTACGTTTATGAGAGTTTTGGAAGGTCAACTGTAAATTCCCAATGCAAGCAAACATTAATGGAAAGTGGAGAAAGAAGAAGAATGAGAAGGGGAAGAAATGGAGGGAAGAGTGAAAGGTGGTAAAGTCAGCAGAGGTGGAAAAAGCAGAAGAAGAGGTGAGAAGAAGAGTGAAGGGGGTAGAAAGAGAAGAAATATGTAGGATTGAAGAGTACTGACATACTGAAATATAGAGTATTGAAATATACAGATTTTTTTTTTTTTTTTAAATGTCCCAAACTTCAAAAGAGAACACTTGGCGTACAGTATAAAACACTATATTCACATAACTCCTCATTGAAGAACTTTGTGACGAACATGAATTTTCATCATTGTATTTGTGCATCTGTAGCTGTCATTAGGCTGTGAAATAGAATCTTTCAGCAAAATTAAGAGTCTGTTTCATTGCCTCAACTTTTTTTTTTAAAGCATGAACCAGTTCATGGAAATGTATAAATCAGCTGAGAAATACTAAGCTGCTTACTTTCATATAAAGAAGAATGTACTGGCAACAAGCCTGTTAAATCCATCTTTAAAAAAAAACAAAAACAAAAAAAATGACAAGTTTGTGATTTATAGCAATAACAATTTATTTTGTTACTTTAAGCTTTTTTATTGCATCCTATGAGATACAGGAAGGTGAAAAGGTACTGAATGCTAAACAAATGGATCTTGTTACAATCAGTGACCTCCTATTTAATTTAATTTACACATAATAAATACAATGCAGAAAACAAAACACTTTGATGTAAATAATTGGGATGGCAATTATTATTATTGCTCTCAATAAGCTCCTGTTGAGATTTGTCAGATTGGTAGTTAAAATAAGATGAAATGTGGTTTAATTAAACCCATAAAAATGAGCAGAGAAGCTTGAAGAAAACAGTCATCGTGTAACTAGCTTTAGTTCTAAAATAAAACAGGATACTGCTTAGCAACAGTTGACACGTGTATGTGTAGATGCTGATTGGCTGGTTGTTTCAGATATTCAGCTCATGAACAAAGTATTGCAGGACTCCTCTTCAGTTGGGACAGTCACAGTCAGAGAAAATGTCGCTGCCGAGGGTCTTGTGTTTTCATCTCATACTGATGCTGTCTGCATTCACTGGAGCAGGTAAATACAATTAAGCGTCATGTAAAATGAGTAGATATATATCGACAGTAACATTCTTCATGATTAATTATTATTAATAGTAGAAGTTAGTAGTAAACAAGACAGTTCACTAATACTGTAACCAACTAATGTATCTAAGTCTTTCTGTTTTTCTATAGTTGACATGAAATCATCTGACATAACTGTAATGCTGATTTAACATTTCTTTTCAGCTAATGGATACTACTGGTCTGGGTGGCGTGAATGTATCCACAGCTCCCGTGATTTCAGTGACATGGTGTACATTATAAACTATATCTTCAATAAAGATGTGTTCATACAGTTCAACAGCACTGTGGGGGAGTTTGTGGGGTACACTGAACTTGGAGTATATAACGCAGACTTATGGAACAAAGATCCCAACCAGCTGCAGCAAGCGAGAGCTGAGGTGGACAGAGTCTGCAAACATAATGCTGAAATCCGTCAGACAGCGATCACTGATAAAACAGGTGAGCAGCACAAGATTATAATCTCTCCTGTCACACATTAACTCGTTTAAATGCTTACACTAGGTACTTTTACACAACAGTTTGCTAATTTTATAATACTTAAAACTTATTATAACACCATGACAGTCAACTTCTTAACCAACATTTTAAAATGTAAAAAAATTTTTTTGTTTGCCCTTGGAAATATTAAAAATACACTCCCAAACACATACATACAGTAGTATTTATGACATTTTATAGTACATCTTGCATGTAATCACAATATTTATTGTGGGATGTTAAGCTGTTATTGTTATTGATTCAGTGGCACCAAAGGTTAAGCTCAGTTCAGTGACGCAGGCTGGAGGCAGACATCCAGCTGTGTTGATGTGCAGTGCTTACCGCTTCTACCCACACGGGATCAAAGTGTCCTGGATGAGAGACGGTGCAGTTGTGAAGACTGATGTGACCTCAACTGAGGAGATGCCTAATGGAGACTGGTACTACCAGATTCACTCCCACCTAGAGTACACCCCCAAATCTGGAGAGAAGATCTCCTGCGCGGTGGATCACGCCGGCTTAACTAAACCCATCATCATAGACTGGGGTAAGACGAAACATTTATTTTCCCTCACATCACATCAGTCTTATATAAATTACATATTTAGACAAACAAAATTAAGATTGAATAAAAATATGTAAAGCTCCTGTAAATACATTCACACATGCTAGGCCAATGTTAAACAATGTAAATATTCAAATGAAAAGTGGTTTCTGTATCTCACAGATCCGTCTCTCCCGGAGTCTGAGAGGAATAAAATCGCCATCGGGGCGTCTGGTCTGGTGCTGGGAATCATCATCGCAGCTGCTGGACTCATTTATTATAAGAAAAAATCATCAGGTCAGAGAAGATGAGAGCAAATCAAGCTGATACGCATCTGTTTAGACATAATGTCTCTATTCTAGTTCTTTATTAATCACTTTTTATTTATTTTGATAGGGAGGATCCTGGTACCAACTTAATGATGGTAAGTTTTTAATGAATACTTTGGAAACTGAAACTGTTTGTCAAAATAAATGATTACTGCATTGTTACACTGAGTCACATAATAATCATACACATTACAGATCAGACTGACTGGAAGAGGATTCAACTTGACTCATCGATAGAGAACTCACTTTCTGAACTTCACACTGATGTTTCATTTTTAACAATGAAAACTGTTTTGGAAAATGAAAACAGTAACAAATCTAATACATTTGTTTGATATTTGTAATTTCTTATTGAATGTTGATGATGACATGATGTGTAAAATATAGAGATTTTATAGAGAGAAGTAGAGATTATCATTCCTGCTGGCTTCTTTTCCAGCACTTTTTCTGAATTAACATGCATATAGCTTCATAACGTTAGGACACACTCTAGGTCTTTGTTATTAATATTAATAAGTATCAGTCAGGCTCTGGGTCTGAAAAAGGGCACTCTGAAGTCTTTTTCTGATCACTATTTTACTCTTATTTACCATTAAAATATATTAGAATTAAACTGGTGCAGTCTTATGTAAAATATATTTGATGGGAAAAAATAATTGAGCATAAATTAGACCATCAACAGATTTCAGATGTTATTCTTGCTTCTAATTCATTCTGACAATGATTCTTCTGTATGATTTGATGACTAAAATATCCAAGTTTTTTTTTTCAGAAACACCAACTGAAACATTTCTTGTTTATGTGCTGTATGCTCATTTCAGCTCAAAATAAATGTCTTTACATTACAGTTTTACAGGTTTTTTAATTGCTTGTAACATTTCTCAGTATTCAGAATACTTTTTAAAAACTAACGCAGTTGTTTTTTCTAGAATATAGCCACTCAGCAGTTCATCTTTCTTCCAAAATGCCATAAAAACACTTAATTTACACCTGAAAATAAACTCATTCTATACCACAATATAGAAAACATTCTCAACAAGGACATGCATGGCTACATTACAAAACCTTTAACTAAAGTTTTATCTGAATAATCTTTGATTCCTTTGAATGACAGCTCTTTTTTAGTTTCATGTTTAGGACAAATCACAGATTTTGTAATTGAGCTATTTCAACACGCAAACAAAGATGATGCGTCTCAAATTCTAAAACGATTTTAAAAAAAAATGTGCCTACATCATATCAATCTGTAAACATAGACAGATGTGTATAGCAATGCTAGTCAACTCAGCCTTCTTCATTAGGTCACATGATCTCATCTACATTACGCCACATCTGTGCAGCTCTGGCAGTCTTCTGCAGATATGTCCAGACATCAATCATATAGTCTAAAAGGGATACATAATTTGGACAGTGGTCATTTAATTTCCACCCTCATGAGGACATTAATTCCTCTAGCTTTACACCCAGCTAACACAATTAAGTTGTGAAGACATATCCGGACTGGACCATATGGTGTGTTCAAGTCCTCCTGGAAGTTGGTATTTACTAGTTGATGACATCAGGGAGTTTCGGTCACTTTGGTCAGAGCAAGATGGCGATGCAACTTTTCAACATAAAATTCAAGATTCAAACTCTGCATCTACGAAATGATGAATAGGCAATGTGCATCGAGTTTTTGCATTTTCTGTTTCATTCAATTAATGAAGGTACTATAAACTGAATCGTTATATATTCTATCGTAATTGTACAATACAACTAGATAATTTTATTGTATGACAAAAAAAAAATCCTTCATTTAAAAAATTTACCGTCAATACAGACATTGCATATTCTATATTCTATAGCTGTGTCCATCCGACATGTTTTCTCACTGACATGCCCCCAACTTGTGCAGCAACGTATTTGTTTTGGTGATGTTATAGTAGTACATTGCTGGAATGTGACGAGGACGTCTCAATGATCAAAATACCATGTCTACCATTATTTTAATATCTACTTGTCACATTTAGCCCGGGCCATGGAGATGTGCTCAGGCCATTACCTTGAAATCCATATGGAACTGATAAACTAGTAAACATTTAACATTTTTTCTGTAAAATAAATAAATAAAAATAAATTCTAATGGTTTAATGGTTATTAGTGAATACCTTTAGGGATCAATACATATATGTAATGGAAACCAATACAAAACTCACACTGTAAAAAATATTGTGCCAATAAAATTGAGGCAACTATTTGCATCAGCTTTTTAAGTATTTTGAACTCATTTTATTCTTGTTTGTTCTATTAAACTTTACATGTTTCCAACTTGAACTCTTAAGTAATGCCAACTCAATTTTTTCAATTGGAAACTCAATTTTTCAATTTACAAACTATAGTTTTAAGTTCATCAAACATAAACCTTGTTGTTTTTAAAGTAATATTTACCAATGTATCCTTATAAGCCACATTTATTCAATCTGTATTTAAATATATAAAAAAAAAATAACAATAGTGTAATGAAACGGTAAACAGGCATCTCAAAACAAAACATTTATTCACTTTACAATGTTATAACAGTGCAACAATGCAAACTACTGAGTATCATTAACACTACTGATTCTGATAGAAAATTGCCAAAACCACAGTGCATTCATTTATTAATCAGCATTTATTCTGTTACTTTGTCCAAATACTAAGCCAATATATTTTGAACCATGTAAAGTGTGTCCAAATCATGAGTACAGAAAACACATCAATTCAGAAATTAAACACTATAATCAATGAATAATGTAACAGATTATTAATTTTTTTTGTTTTGAATAAAAACGTATTAAGTGTCATCAATGCCTAATCAAGGTCCAGATGCCTAATGTCTCATCATTAGGGATGGGTATATGTAAAACAAATAATGATTTTAATCATTAAAAAAAATAATGATTTTAATCACAGATGCTTATCGATACTTTTATTAATACTACTGTTCATACTTAGATACAAAAAATAAAGACATGACAAAAAGATATGAAAAGATTCAGCAGTTACTTCATAATTACTTTTTTTTTTTTTACTTTTGCAAAAATAAGTTCAATTGTTTCCTGAGTTTCCTATGAGGCAACTGCTACAAATGTCTGGTGGTGATGTACTACTTTGCTATCAGAAGCTAAACCTAAACGATATTACAATTACCAAATAACTACAGTCCCTGAAATAAAGAAAATAACAACATTCATAAAGAATAAAGATATGTAAATAGAACAATATTTAGACTTCTAGCATCTCTCCTGTATTATTTGTCCCAACCCAAAATACATCACCAGTTTTTCTTCAAGAAAATGAGCATGCTGACTTTCTTACTTTTGAGCTCTCTGATTAGTGACTGTGCATCCAGCTGTGGGGAATGCACATTCAGACAGTGCTGAGGAGGATGAGTTAGTTGCTGGAGAGCTGTGAGAGAAGAGGAAGAGTTTCTTTCTTACCCCACCACTGGAGGGCAGGGTCTTCTGAGGCAAGGATAGGAGTGTGGTCTCTGTGGACTGATAATTCACTCTTGATCTTTTCATGGAAGGTTGATGCAGTGTTTTGCTGTAGAACAGGTTCTTCTAGTGCAGTATCAGAGACTCTGGATTTCTTGCAAACTGGAAGCTGAAAAATAAAATGTACATTATTGTAGTTAGGTTTATTGTTTTTGTTATAAGCGAATGGCACATACCAACATTATGAGAAAATGATGTCTAACTTGCATGTTCCTCCTCCTACTCTTCATCCTGTTACCCATCCTGAGCCTGAACAATCACCTTATCATGCTTCTCTGGCAGCTGAAAGGGAGGATTACCTTGTTAATGTTGCTAATATATCTACACAACTGGTCAAAAGTCTGTAATCTTTTTCATGTTTTTGAAATAAGTATTATGCTCACCAAGGCTGCATTTATTTGATGAAAAATACAGTAAAAACAGTAATATTCTTAAATATTATAATTTAGAACAAGTGTTTTCTATGTGAATATTTTAAAATGTAATTTATTCCATTCCATTCTTCAGTGTCACAATTTCAAAAATCAAAAGCTGCTTCTTCTTATTAATAATAATAATGTTGACAACAGTTTGGTGGAACATATTTTTGGTGGAAACCTTGATACAATTTTTTTGAGGATTCTTTGATGAATAAAAGTCCAAAACTATATAGAAGTCTTTACTTTTGATCAGTTCCAAAAAAAATAAATAATAATTCTTACTGACCCCAAACTTTTGAACAGTAGAGCACACAAAAATAAAAAAAAATTATGTTAAATTCTTACATTCAAATTAAATTCAAATAGAATAATACCACAGTATAGGGCAGTTACCAATCAATTGAAGTAATTACCAACAAAATCATATCCATCTTTGCAATGCAGAGGTGACAGAAGTTTTATCTGAGGTGGCATTAACATATTTACATTGCATTTACAATTGCATAAACAATGCTATAAAATTGTTTTTGAATTCAATATTTAAAAGTTAAATGATTTATAATCTACTTTAAATATTGTTGGCGCCGATAGCCTTGTGGGCAGCATGCCGACAAAAAAAAAAAAAAAAGTTATATCAAACTAAATCCAAGTCAGTGTCTTAATGAGTGAGTTGAATGAGTCATTTATTCAAACAATTCGTTCGAGGAACGAAAAAGTGACTGTCTTTATGAATAGGTCACTGAATCATTTATTAAACGGAACATTACATTAACAAAACATGAATACACTTATTCATTCAGTAACAAATCACCGCTGTGTGTTGCTCCGAGACTCGGCTTTGCTGTGGTTTCATTTTAAAATGTTCACTGGTGAAATAAAGGAAAAATAAACAATATTGACAATATTATGTCTAAAATGTAACTCACAATGTTAACTTATTGTTAGTTTAACTATTGTATAAAAATTAATTTTGGGGGCCTATAACTGCATACATCACGCAGTGAAAGCTGGGTTGACTCAATGTCAGCTCACACATTGTTAAAACAATAACTAAGATATCATCATAGTCGATACATATCCCACACCCCTACGAACATAAAGATTGAACTAACAATTAAACTTACATTTACCCATTTTCTTCTCCTTCAAGATTCAGTTCGTAATAGCTGTCAAAAATGCCGCGAGTTGCCACATGAACAAGCAATCTACAAAGAAAGAATAAAAAATCATATAACGCTAATTAGATAGTTTTAATTTGGTAAAGTATTACTTATGAGAGGTCTTACGTTTTAGCATCAACTAAAATTTAAGACCTCTCATAAGTGAAAATAAGACTTGACTGTTTGACCTTAAAATTAAAAAAATATATATATATTTTTACTTTTTAAGGATCTGTGGGACCCCTGATTTAAATGAAAATACACCTTGTAACAAACACTGCACACATTGTCAAAGAACTTACATTATGATGATTGCTTTCCCTTATTACTTCCTTTTCAGTCATTCCTAGACTTCCTTATTTTTCACCTTTCCTTGAATCTATGGTCCATTATAGTGGCCTCCACAAAAAATACCATATCATCATCATCCTGTACACAAAAAAATTAACACATTTTACTGTAAAGGTATATATCTTAGCTTTAAATAAATTGGGTTTATGAAGTGGTTTTTTTTTGCATCTGGTAATGTTTGGATAGGTCACAGCAGACTTTTTCTTTAAAGGGGTCATATGATGCGATTTCAAGTTTTCCTTTCTCTTTGGAGTGTTACAAGCTCTTGGTGCATAAAGAAGATCTGTAAAGTTGCAAAGACTAAAGTCTCAAATCCAAAGAGATATTCTTTATAAAAGTTCAGAGTCAACCACGCCCTCCTAAAACGGCTCGTTCTAACACGCCCCCACATGTCTACGTCACGATGTGGGAAGATTTACATAATGCCGCCCAAATGTGCACGCAAAGAAAGAAGGCGTGGTTTCAGGAACAGCAGTAATGTTGATGCAGCATGTCAGTGAGACGCTGTGTGATTCAGCGCGAAAGCAAAAGCACTTTATTTGGCCTTCTGAAAGTAGATGCAATTAGGAATCATTGGTTAAGATTTATTTACTACAGAACAGCACAACCCAGATGTTCGAATTTGTGCAACGCATTTTATGGACGACAATTTTTTTTTAACCTAGAAGAGTACAAGGCTGGCTGTGCACAAAAAAAATAATAATAATAAAAGGGTCAATTCCAACTTTGCTATGACAATCTGGCGCTTCTGAATCAGCGACTGTAAGTATGTTTTAGTAGTTTAAGTATTTGCTATTGACTGTTCAAACACAGAGTTTTGCGCAGAGTAACACGTCGTGTGTGTGTGTGAGGGGAACAGGGTCACATCACAGGAGAGTGAACTGTCTTTCAGAAATCATAGCACGTCAGCTGTCTTAACTGCGGCTTGTGTACTGCACCATCACTGTGTCTGTCACGTGACCCTGTTGCCCTTTCGGGCTTGTACTGATGGTAAAACTAACAACATTATTAACGGTCTTGATATTTACTTTGAAAGCTGAAGCTGCGATTATGGTAAGGGGCGTTACATTTCCGACGCGTGCTTGTGGTGTTCGGCCAATCACAATGCACTGGGTCAGCTGGCCAATCAGAGCAGACTGCGCTTGTCAAAGGAGGGGGCTTTGTTGAAAACGATGCGTTTGAGAGAGGCGGGGCATAGAGGACCTACAATAATGTACAGTATTTGAAAAATAAAATTAAAGCATGTCAACATATTCCGTTACACCAAATAATGATCTTTAAAATAGCATCATAGGACCCCTTTAATGATGGCCACACACTGAATCTTCCTTTTGAGTTCATAAGTGGTCTTCCAGCTTTTAAAAATGAATCTGGGCACATGTAGTGACACACACACAGGGTACATATGCAGAGAATATGCATTAGATTGATGAACTCCACAGCCTTCCTGAAGTCATCATCTGTGACCTTTTCAAGTTTGAGATGAAATTATTAAAGGTGAAATATTATGAAAATCTCACTTTTTCCATGTTCGAGTGCTATAATCAGGTGCCCGGTGCATCTACCAACCCAGAAAACAGAGCAGTGAGATTTATTTATTTACTGTATATTACGCTGCTGCCACACTGATCTAATATAAACATGCAATTTATTTCCCAGCTGTTTACTTTCACAGACATAACAGACTGTTTTTTGTAACTCATGTGTTTTTAACAAACTTGTGTGTATTTAACAGTGTAAGCGCAATAAGACATGAAAGAGAACTTAGATTAGTGCTCACATGCCATGGAACAGCTGCTTTCTGTGTGCGTGCTTCATAAAAAAAAAAAAAAAATGTACTAAATAAATTCCTTAATGCACATCAGAAAAGACATGACTTCGCAATTGGACAGCATAACTGGACCAACCAACAAACTGACCTCATTGCACAGCATCTGAAATGCTGTGCAATGAGCAAAGTCAAAAGTGAGCAAAGTCAAAAGTGGTTCAAAGAGGTCAAAGTGGTTCATTATAATTACCTCCCAGAACTGCGTTCCCAAGGAGTAGGCCCCAAAAGTAAGATAACATGACCACATTTCATCTGCATGCTCTGAGGCTCACAGAGAATAGCATGGCCATTCCTTTCAACCAAAACAACTAGAGTGTATTTGTGTGTGTGTGTCTCAGTGTTTGTGCATGTTATATGTTTGCCCAGTAGCCTATGTGATGTGGTTATGCATGATTTGGAACCTGGGGAGAGCCTATAAATGATAGGGAGCTTGGAAGGTGGTCATAAGGCAGTGGTTTTCAATCCTGGTCCTGGGGACCCAACCGCACTGCACATTTTGTATGTCTCTCTTATTAAACAATACCCATTTAGATCAGCTCATCAAGAAAGAGATCCATGAACTTAACTGAGTGTGTCAGAAAAGAGAGACATACTATAATAATGTGCAGTGCTGTGGGTCCCCAGGACCAGGATTCAAAACCAAGGTAAGGTACTTGACTTGGCTCATAATTTCCCACATGATAAAGCCACGACCATACAAGCATCAATGATTTCCAAACAATTTCTCCTGATGGGAAAAAAAATGGGCTTGCGAGCTCCTACGACAGCAAAAATCACAATGTGTACACCCAGACTAATAATTAATGTCTGCTAGTCTCTATCAGTAATTGAATTGTGAAATACAACCCTGTAGATTGCCTGTCTCTCCTCATGAGCCTTTTGGTGTGTGGGTCCAGAAAGGCAGTTTGTATGACTGGATACTGCTCCACACAAATCTTTCAACCATGTGAAACAGAGTTCCAGCATGTCCTCACATCCAGAACAACAGAATGGTCTGGCAGGCCTGAAACATAACCCATTGAAATGAATTTGAATCCATTTAGTCTTGCCTGATACGGAAACAAAAAGGCTTAGTTTTTCACCCAGGATATGCTGCTTCACTCTGGAACATGGTCTCCATGATGGATGATCCTGGATAAATAGGTAATATAAAATACAGATTTTCAACAGCAATAATCAGCAAAATTTGAGAGTTCAATTCAGTTCACTGGCATTGTTATAGCACTATATAAATTCCTCATTTATCATTTATTTTAGGCTTAATATTTAGAAATGTGCATTGTGCAATAAAGTACTCCAGTAAGTACTTTATATCAGTAAGTCTCAAGGGAAAATATGTTAATGGATTTGTACTACTTGGTATGAAATAAATTTATTTTAAACATTTTTGTATAGGTTTTTTTTTTCCACCAAGGATAACTATCAAAACCAGAAAACCTGATTCAAGATCTAATCGTTCTGTTAAAACACTAGCATGTTTTCAATCCAACAGAAACACATAGCCAGTCGCACCACAATGACTGTCAATTCTAAAAGATGTTTCAGTTTACCCTGTAATTATTTGGCAATTTTCCCCCCCTTTTCCAAGAGTAATACATAATTCTAAATTGTAAAGGGTCTACTTTTATTTGTGTGCACTCACAATATCAACAAAACGTTGTGCTTCTATAGACCATTTCAAAGACGTAAACAATAACAAAGGCGTTTTTATTTTTTTTAAATAAACGGTTATTGGAATTACCCTTTAAATATGACTGAGGCGCAAACTTACAAAGAAATTTAAAAGTAGTCTTCCGGACGGCTCTAATTGATGCTGCGTGCGTGTACACGAGAGATGGCGGTAAATGCATATCTAGATGCAATTAACTCCTTAATGGAAAGGTTGGGATCATTTGTTCGTACAATGGATGACATGTTTGGTTAAACTGAAGCAAGACAAACAGTCACTTACGTACTTATCAAGGTTTGTCGCCAAGATGTCCGGGGAGGTTTTTAATGGACATATCACTTGCATTGCTGGGTCATGTATATCTACGCAAATATTCGTGAATGCAATTCAATGCTGGTTACCGTGTTTTGCATTAACCTGTATTAGTTTTTTTAAAAGATAAAAGTATAGCCTACATGCAGATTAATAAACGCACACTACATACAGTATATATGTGGGTATGTATGTTTTTTTTTAATGCACATTTACTGTAAACGCTCATACACATACAGAAGTACTGGTCAAAAATGTGGGCACTATTACTATTTTTTATGTTTTTGAAAGAATTCTCCTATGCTCATCAAGCCTGCATTTAATTGATCAAAAATACAGACAAAAACAGTAATATTTAGAAATTTTATTACAATTTAAAATAATGGTTTCCTATTTTAACCCATTTAATCCCACTGGTCACAATAGTGACCGTAAAAAAAGGTTTTCATTTATAAAGCTCTAAAAAAAACTTACTGATTGATGTTTTAGTGCACTTCCTGCAAATATGGGAAAAATAAATGGTGTCAATTAAATATGTGCAGTGTCACATGGTTAGTGCAAATTGTCACATGACCAGAGCAGTTTATTTCTTGTTTGCACCATGAGATGATGGCTGCATCAAAGCTGCAAAATGAAAGGCTAGTAAAGTATGTTAAAGATATGAAAGACTTTTGGTACACATTTTTTAGGGTGTCTAGTATTAATATATGAATTCACATATTCAGTTTTGTTGAGTGTGGTCATAGAATGAGTAAACCCTTTTCCAATTTTTTTTTTTTTAAATTATTGATATTTTAAAGGAATACTATATACGTATATACTATAGTATATATAATACTATATAGGATACCCATCATTTGGATATTTTCATGTCTGAGAAAAAAATTGGGATTAAACAGGTTAATATGCTTTAATATGCTTTTCTGTGATCAAAGCTGTATTTTCAGCATCATTACTCCAGTCTTCAGTGTCACATGATCTTTCAGAAATCATTCTAGTATGCTGATTTATTATCAGTGCTGGAAACTGTGCTGCTTAATATTTTTGAGATAGTTTTAGGATATTTTTTTTTAAGAATAAAAAAAAAAAATAGCATTTATTTAAAATAAAAAAATTTTTTTAACAACATGCACTACTGTTCAAAAGTTTGCGATCAGTTTTTTTTATTATAATATTAATACATTTATTCAGCAAGGATGTTAAATTGATCTAAAAAAAAAGTGACAAAGACATACTGTTAGGAAAGATTTCTATATTTTGAAAAACCCTGCTAGGATTCAATCAATCAATCCTGTATAAAGTATCATAGGTTCCAGAAATATTTTCTTAAGCAGCACAATGGTTTCCAACACTGACAATAACCAAGTATCAAATCAGCACATTAAAATGGTCTCTGAAGGATCATATGACACTTAAGACTGGAGTAAAGGCTGATGAAAATTCAGCCTTGCATCACAGGAATAAATATAAAGAATATTAAAACAGAACTTTTTTTTTTATATATATAAATTGTAATAATATTTCACAATATTACTGATTTGGTCTATTTTTGATCAAATTAATGGAGGCTTGATGAGCATAAGAGACAAAAACATTAAAAATAGTAATGTGTCCAGACATTTGACCAGTACTGCATATAAACAAAAGACATCCTCTCGTTTTCAACTGTTTCCAGCAAATTTATTAATATGTGATCAATATCAAAAGCAGCAGGCTGGCCATGAGCAGCTTTACATTGCATTTCATCCTCAGGTTCTCAAACACATCTGGGTGTTCATAGCGTCACATGTGGTTTGGCACTGCAGGACAACCAGCTGTCCTTCCCGTCTCCCTGTAGCACTCACTGTCTTAGGTGTCTTACATTACAGATGATGGCTTTCCTAAAGACAAAAGTAGAAAAATAATTTAATTTAATGCACAATATTTATAAATACATCAGTACATGTTGGAATTAACATTGGACAAGCATGAGTGATGAAAAATGTTTACCGTTAGCTTTTGTAAACTACTGCAGTTAACCGTTTCACTCTTCAACATTCAAGTTTACAGTATACATTTCTATAACGTGTTACTCACTGCATTTATCTGCTGACAAGATAGCTAGACAACTAATGTGAACTCATATTTAATTATAGCTCACATAACGCTTGGCAATAAAACGGAAATAAAAGCTTGGCCTTTTTCACTAAACAAGAATCAAACCGCTAGGCGGACATGTAAACAGTGACGACAACACAATTTTGCATCATACTTGAAGAGTTAACATAAATAAATACAAATGATCAAATGGGAAAAAAAAAAAAAAAACATTTCCTTACCTGAATGGAAATGTGCTGTAGATCCACGAGCTGCTATTCTGCTTCTCGCTTCACTGCTGCAATCCAGGCGCGTTTCTCAGAAATCTAAACCCTTTAATTTCCGATTATTTATAAATTAATGTTAGTTCCAGGCCAGAGGGAGCACCCAACCACCGAGCAACAAGGATCTAATTTTAATTGACATTTTAAACAGCAGGATTAAATCAATTATCGTAATCCCGCTGTGCATCAAGCACCTGCCACCATTGTTTTGAATGCTCTCAAACACTAACCGGAAACGTCCAAGGAACAAAGACGTCACTTCCTTAAACCACCGAATATCCGTTGAAATGGTCTATAAAATAAAGAAAAAACGCTTTCTGCCATCTTGGGCTTGAACAGGAGCGCTTCACAATGATAAACCTAAACTCAGCGAATTGCCTCACAGACATGATAAAACATCTAGAAAGCTTTAAATTACTACTTTAAAACGAAATCATTCAAATCGAAACTTTCATTATGTAATCCGTAAAGATGCATTTCTCTCTAAAGGCACATCCAATGAGGAGCTAGTCATTTTTTATCACCACAATTGATGGAGGTCTAAAATAGTAAAAGGAAAAGCCTAAAACAGGCCCGATTATAATTTGCGTTTTATTTTATAATTCTGTACAATTAAAAAACAAAACCAACTATAATGGCATGTAAAACGTTGTCCTATAATTGTATACCTACTTATATTTTCTGATTTTTAATGTTGCTCTGTTCTGAATAGCTTAAAGGATTTGCTGCAATGCAATTTTGTCTGATATGTGAATTATTAGCCTATTTTTTTTTTTTTTACCCATGCAGCAAATGATTTAAAAATAGCTTTAAAATTACTTTATTGCATTCTAGATGCTTTTAAAGTACTTTTCACTATAAATTTTACGGGTAGCTTGAATGGAAAACACTGTCATGAATTCATTGTATTCCCATTTGTAAAACAGCCAATAAATTGTTGTAGGCTAACCCAATCTCATGAAAGTGCATATAGCATGATTTTCTGCTTCTATTTGGCATACTATTTCTATGCAGAAATTTACTTTGGCATGCAAAAGACTGATAAATTCATAATGGCATGGCTGGTTCAACTGACAGAAATACGGGACACACAGGTCTATAATAACTGCTGAAATTTGCAGGGCAAATCTCAGGTCAGTCTGAGCGCTCATGGTGCACACAGTGCGTACAGCCGTACACCTGCAGGCGCCACCGATTAGCAACATGAAATCGCTGCCAATGATCAACAACAACAAAAATCCAACACAAATGGTCTTTGTTACCACAAGGGTAAAAATAAAATATAAGTACAATTAAAAAGGCACAGAAGGGAAAAAATCAAAGATGAACAATCCGGCACAAATATTTTCTCCAATCCACTACCTCTCCTTTTCCCTTGTCCCGATTCAACAACCCCTCTCCTCCGCCCTATTTTTCTTTTGTTCCTCCAAGTTGTTCAGCATCAACACTTGACAAAACCAATTCAAAGAGTTTTTTTTTTTTTTACTGTGCATGTCCATGTAATGGAAAGAACTTCAACACCTGACTGGAATCAGCCATTTCTCAACATTTTTAGTAATCTGTTACTTAAATTCTTAGCAGCTCTTTCAATATATTTTAAAATATGTATTAAAGGTTTTTGCTCTGCTTATCGTTGCTGCAGTGGAGGCTTTGTATTATATACAGCAGGGGTGCCCAACCCTGCTCCTGGCGATCGACTGTCCTGCAAAGTTCAGCTCCAACCCTAATCAAACACACCTGAAGCAACTAATTAAGGTCTTCAGGATCACTTAAAAATTAAAGGCAGGTGTGTTTGATTAGAGTTGGAGCTAAACTTTGCAGGACAGTCGATCGCCAGGAGCAGGGTTGGGCACCCCTGATATACAGTTACAAAGTGTTCAGATCACTGTACTGTATTAACTGTTTTGAAAGCAATTACCCGAGTATGGAGCTAATGTGTCAAATCGATACTCCTTCTGCAAATGATAATGGAAGTGAGAGAAAAGTGTTTATTATGTTTGAAATATGGATATTTTTCTTACAAAAACAGATTCTCTACAGAAGGCCTTTATTCACCCCCCCGGAGCAGTGTGAAGCACGTTTTGTGAATGCGTGCTTTATTTGACGACTTGTGGACTGTTCAGCTGCAACACCCGCTGACCGCAATGATAGAGCTTGGAATAGCCAGGATTATTTTTTAATATAACTCTGACTGGATTAGTCTGAAAGAAGAAAGTCATATACACCTAGGATGCGTTGAGGGCGAGTAAACCACAAGCCAATTTTCATTTTTGGGTGAACTTAACCTTTAAGGAACCCGGTAAACACCTTCAATCAGTTACGGTATACATTGGGCCAATTTCCTGGAATAACAGAAATGCAGATAAGAAAAGAGTGGATTACAATTAATGGCATGTATTGTTTGCCATTGTATAAAACAATTCCCAAATCTGAGTATTTAATTATTTTAAATGACCATATGCATTGAAGCATGCCCATAGTGAACAGGCTTCTCTCATGCACTCTTGAATGTGCAATATAGAGCTAGGGCTACTGTAAGGTGAAAGGTAGGAGGTTCACTAAAATATGAAAGTCACATGGACGCCATTGAATGTCATCGTTTACTCACCCTCATGTCATGCCAAACCCACAAGACTTTAGTTCATCAACAAAACACAAAGATCTTTTGAATGAAATCTGACAGATTTCGGTTCCTCCACTGACAGTCCACGCAACTACCACTTTGATGCTTAAATTCATAAAGCGACTGTAAAACTAATCCATATGAATAGAGCAGGTTAGGCCAAATTTTCTAAAGAGACTTAATTGCTTTATATGATAAACAAACTAAACTTGGTCTTTTATTCACAAACACACGCTTAACCATACTTGCTTGATGCATGAGAACAAACTTCACTGGTTCTTGTGGAAGCTCAAACTCCATGTTTAACACAAAAATAAACCTCATTTTTATTTTACCATATCTGATGCGTGTACTAATGAATGTTTGTGAATAAAAGCATAAATTAAATCTGTTCATAAAATTGAGTCTCTTCAGAAAATCTGGACTAAACCGTTAAATTCATATTGGTTTTACAATCTTATGAAATTTTTGAAGCATCAAAGTAGTTGTGTGGACTGTCAATGGAGGAACCGAAATCTCTCAATTTTCATTAAACATCTTCATTTGTGTTTTGAAGATGAATTAAAGTCTTAGGGTTTTGGAACGGAATAAGGGTGATGACGATTTTGATTTTGGGATGAACTAATAACCCTTTAACTATTAGCTGCCATTGTATAGACATCAGCAAAAGAGACTTACTGGTGGTCTTCTTCTGGTCCTGCAAAGTCTTCACATGGGCATGAAATAGCATCCTCCCCAACAGTAGACAGTCTTCACCTAAAGGCAAAATAAACATATGTAATGACAATTACACTGCAAGATTCTATCATATTTAATGTGAATGACTTATTTCTTTAGTGTAAAGCTCATGAAACAAGTTAAATCTGTGTTTGTTGCAAACCACAGAAGACTGCTAGCATCTATTCACTTTAAATTTAACTCATTTTTGTACTGATACTTGCTTCACAGCAGAGGACACAGACTTGTACAAGTATGATCAATGTAACTTACTACTTACAAGAAAAGCTAAAAAAAAAAATTTAAAAAATAAAAGCTGTGCTATCCCTGAGACCAGCACTGACAGTTTCTCCATCTTCGTGATCTGAAAGTTAAAAGACACCTTTGTGGAGTTTCAGAGTGCTCTAATAAAAATGAATGACATGTATATGACTTAGAGCAGAATAAGGCAATCACATTCTTTTAAAAACAGAGACCGAAATAAACAGATCACACAGAACATTTCAATGTGTCTATTGTTCAACAGGTGCAATACACCTCTATGGTGCTTCAGGGTAAGCATTCATTTACAATAATTCAAAAGTATTATTTTATGTACTTCAAACGTATACACAAACACCGTTACTTTAAAATGTATTTGCAGAAGGCTAAATACAGCTGGCTATTTAAGCTTTTACGCTCCCTGTTGTGAATGGGTGGCTGTAGCGTCTTACACCGTGTCTACACCGGACGCGAGCGTTGTGGCAAAACACTATAGAATCCATTATAATCATCAGTGATGCTGGCTACACTGGATGCGGCGCGACACGACAAATCCCCGACAGCAAGCTGCTGCCGCGTTCTATTTATGACATAGCTACAGACACAAAGAACAGTTCAAAATACAGTCGCTTTGTCGCGTCCAGTGTAGACACGGTGTTATACATTTTGGATTCGGTTAAAAGCAAGCATAAAACTCACCTTTGAATTTCCTTCTTTCTCCGTCTGATAATTGGAGTCAAGCCTCGCTTTAGCTTATGAAGTTCCTCCGACGATAAAGAAGCCGAGGTCCTGGTTGTGCTGGCGCTGTAGACCGGCGCAGCGGCGCACTGCTTCCCGCTCTCTGCGGTTTAAAAATTCCGTTAACGGCTGCTGCGACTTCGGCCAGTCAAGTCTTGTGTTGCTATGCCTGATAGTTAATCGTAGATATTTAAAAAATAAAAAAGTTACAATTGGCAGTGTTGAGCAAACGCTATGTTGTATATGTAGTCGCGATCATTTACTACTAATCAATTAATTGCATTTTTTTTAAATGTAATGTTATACAAATGGCTAAAACCATTGACCGCATATCTCCATTAACTAATTTAAGCCATTAATTTCACGTTGAGTAGAATAGATGAAACATTTACATTTTAAATTTGAGAGCTTAATATAAACATATTGTCATAACTCACCTTTAAATCTCGTCGTCTTCAAGATTAAAATTTACAATCCATTCTCAAAGAGCTTTTCTGTTGATAAAAGGGCAAAAGTAGTCTGCTTCCCGCTCTCTGTTCTGTTTGAAAATTCTGTAACGGCCGCAGCGATTTCGACCAATCAGAGTCTTGTTGCTATGCCTAATAGTTAAAACAGCAGCCAATCATGAATGAAACAGTAAATGTGTACCTTTGACTGAGAACTTTTATGTACCTTTATTTCAGTTGTGCCTTCAAAGGTGCCCAACAGTATCATCAGAGGTCTTTACTGTACCATTAAAGGTACAGTTATTGAAAAGGTACAAAACTGTTCTTTGAGGAACATTATTTGTACCATCGTGTACCATTTTTCTGAGAGTGTATCAACACAACTAATAGTAGACAAAGAACCAGGGGAGAACGCAGGACTTCAGTACTAGGAGACAAATAAGATAATTAATAAACACAGGTGGAACCAAATTAACTAATCAGGACAACTCAGGAAAACTAGGTCAAAGAGGAGACTCAAAATACGCAGACATGTGACAGTTACAGGGCATAGACGCTGCAGTATGTTAATTTTCTTGTATAACATCTGGTTGGAGTTTTTTCCTTTTTGATGAGTATTTGATGACTACCAAATACTATAGATAACAGAGATAGAGAAACAAAGTTAAAAGATATGTGGCTTTCTTACATTTTGCTACAATTTGACTATTAGAGCTACTGTAACACAATGTTAACAGTGAGTTATAATGAAGACAAACCAAACCAAAAGGAGTTACTTTCATATGATTAGGGAACTGGTTTCAGCATTGGCATGTTCACTATTGTGTGAAGAAATAGGATATTTCATAGATCTAAATATCTAATGCAAATTTGACTTTGTATGAATGCCATGGATATTTGGGGACTTTACATACTGGCTTAACTTCCTCAGGTTTGGTCTCACCGGGCCACACCAAGACAATTTCCCTGCTGTAGCATTATGTTAATAGGTTATAATAAGTGTTATGTACAGTTTTATGTATATGTTTTGAATAGTTGAAAATAATAAAAGCATGTTATCAGCAAATTAAGTTTTTCATTAGCATGTTGACTTTGTATTATGGGCACTTTCCCAAACTGGTTTACCCTAACTGTTACCTAGCTAGACCTGGTTTAACCACATGCTTGTGCAGAGTTAAAGCTGTGTTCCAGTCTGATGACATGCAATGCTTAATTAAAATGTATACTCTGCATTTTAATGAACTTACAGCTTTAAATTAAGGATTTGATTAAATAAAATGTAAACTTTGGTCGTTTTTTCCATTTCATTTCTCCATTCTTTTGTCCTGTTCCTTAATGATCAACTCTAATTTACATAGAGACCAATGACATAACAAAAGAACTCTGCTCTTATTGGCTAGAAGCGCTTACTTCTCCAAACCGGTTTGTGTTAGTAATATGTATGCTACTGGTTTCTGCTGGTGGTTTAATGGATTGGGGAATTATCTTGCAACCCTGAATGCAGGTTTGGTTTTAGATATTGAGGTGCAGTAGAGTATTAACATTTTTCATGACCATCTTTCCATTTTGCAGCCCTTAAACAGTCTGTTTTTTCCCCTGCTACCTTTAATAAATACCTAAATGCTGTAAATTTAATTCACCCATCCGTCAGCCTCTTTGCAAAGTCTCCATTATGTTGTGATCACAAAACAATCCACGCTGAAATGTGATGCACAAACTGTTAAGATCAGACTAAATCTTTTAAGGGCCTATAGCTGCTCTTTACTAAATGTGGCATGCCTGCTTGTTGCCATGACTTATATTTGGGTCAGTGGTCTGTTTACACTTGAGATTTAATTAGACAGCCTCCCTTCCCTTTTTGATTTTTCATAATTCATAATTCAATTTATCTGCTTTAATTTTGGTAAAACCACTCTGACAGGCAAATCTGGCATATATTGTTGCATAGTTAGGGATTTGAAGTGGCACAAATCTGCACTATTTATAGATATCATTAATATTTTTGTATAACCTACACTTTCAGATACACTTATTATCTTTTTCCATGAAGGCCCTTTCAAAGAGTCTTGTCTTAAAAAAAAAGGCTTCCAGTCTTCACCAACTTAAATCTACCTAGATACTGGTGACATCTAAATTCTCTCCTCTCACTGATAGATCAGTAGCAGAGTACTTCTTCAAACTGGTTTGAGGATTATGTTTCACATGAACAATGCTACCAGTGAAACTGAAAAATGCAGAACAGTTTGTTAGTTTTCCCTTAAAAAATGTATTTTTTATTTTTTTTTATATTTATTTTTATTTTATTTTATGGAACTGTGGTTTGACAGTACTTTTAATAAGTCCAAATTAGACACAAAAAATTCTTTTTTTTCAGTAAAATGTAGATAGTGACGTTGTTAATACAGAATTAGAAGAAAATTCAAGTTCATATGGTTTAACAAAGTATCAATTATATGATGTATCTTATTAGAGCCAAGTAAAGACTTTATTTTGAACGTAAAACTTTTACTTATTTGTGAAGGAACTTTACATGTGTGGTGAGACTGTTTACAATCAGTAAAAAGTGCTTTTGTTTTTAATATGACATATTGTTTAGACATAACTGAATAATGTTCAGATTTCAGTTTGCCTAGAGACTCAATATGTAATAAAATGTCTCTCTCGTAATTGGATGGCTTTGGACAGTGGTTTAGAAAAAACGTGCTAGAACAGGTTTATGGTTCTGGTTTTGTTTGCCATGCCAAGCTTCTGAAACTAAACATAGGGAGAGTTTATTGTCAGCATTCTGTGGGAAATGTCAGCATTTACTTTCTGATGAGTGAGAACCAGATACACAAGACCACAGACAGAGTATCAAATATATAGCCTATATATTAAAGTTAATAAAAAAAAATGTAAAATGAAATTAAAATTTCCCATGTAAATTATAAGCCTGAATAAAAAGCCTTTTTTCTTTCTTTTTTTTTTTATAAACATGAAGACCATCAAACATTATACAATGGATGTGTAATGCTTATCAATGTTACACTGGGCTGTGACTAAATACTATGAATAACAGAATAAGGTATATCTTCATCAAAATGACAGTAACTTTCACATCTTTCTTATAACCACGTGACTTCTGTATGAGGAAGTATCACAAACCTAAATAATTGTTTTAGGTTTGGCTTCATGACAGCCATGGAGCTCTGGGGACTTTCCAAAAATGGGTTAGCATGATTGTACTGATAACATAATGAAACAGGCTCTTTTGCAGGAATGCTGCAGCATCAAGTAAACAATGATTTGCCAATCTAACCAAAAATTCCCTATATTTTCAAAATAACAGTTTTGATGAGCAATTGTGCCATAAAACAGGACATTTTAGTCTGAAATTTGACAAGGTTATGTAAATCTTTCACATCAAACCTTTAATTCAAATATCATCTATCTATAAAAACAGAATGACTTCAATACAAACTACTAGACTGCAATCTTAATCTATCCATTCTTATTCTCTGGGTCGCAGGGATGTTCTAGCATACAGTATCTCAGCATCTCAGAACAACGGCAGGGAAATCTCCTGAATGGATAGCAGTAGGCTACATCACAGGGTTTAGACTGCCATCTTGTAGTTGTTGATATTTCAGATACCCAAGATCAGACCCTTTCTATTTTTAAGTATTGTGATATTTACTGTTAGGAAAATACTGTCACCTAGAGGTTATAAATACAAATTACAAGCTCTTGACTCAAATACATTAAAGTCACCATTAAATCAAAATTGACATTTTTTATGGAGTATTGCAGTAGTTTAAAAAAAAATTTTTAATAAATTATTTATCCATGCTTATCATTATTATTATTATTATTTTTTTCAAAATTCAAATTAATTCAATCTTTAATCTAAATAACTCTCCCTCACTCTTGCAGTGACAAATCTTTTCTGAGGACAGCATGTCACTCACATGAGATCACAGCAATTGCAAACCAGAGCCATAGAGAGAGTTGCATCAACTCTGTTCACTCCAATGAATGGACTGTTTTTCTACTGCAATGGCGGCTCGTGTATGGAGCTTAAAATATGACAAAACTATTTGAATTTGAATTGTGTAAATTTGAGTTAACATTTCATTTAACAAAATGTAATATTATGTGGCATTTAACATCATTCTGAATTAGATTGTTTTTTAAACTTGAATATTGAAAATTTGAAATTTAACACAACTGAATTTTTTTATAGACATGTATTTTCAAACAGCAGATTTTTTGTTCTGAATATTTAGACTGCAAATATCCCGTCTTTTTAAAAATACAGCTTCAAGTTTTCAAGATGAAGAAGAAATTCAGAACATCAAATTCAATATTCTAAAATTCAAAACGCAGAAATTCAGATCGTACAGAAAGGTCAGAGGTCATTCACAGAGAAAAGTAAATTATGTCCGAAAAGTCGAACGAAGCATTTTGGCCAAATACTACGGTGACTGGGAGGGGACATGTTCGGTTCACTTATGCCGAGTTCACACTGCACGATATTAGCCCGATTTTTCACTTGCCGACAGATGCCCGAAATCGGAGGCAAATCGGTGCTCGTTAACACGAGTGACAATCAGGCAGTGTGAATTATCAAAGACGCGATCTGAGGGAATCGCAGACACGTCGCCGACGCCCGCAAAATATTTAGCATGCTAAATATCTGGAGCTGTCGGCGATTCACAATCACGCTGTGTGCAATGAGTTCTGACTGAAAAACACATCGGCGATGACCTACAGCCAATGAGAGACCAAGATACAGGGCAGAGGGAAGTTCGGGGAGGAGTTATAGACCAGAATATCAGTATTTTAATAGATATATGAACAATTATATCATACAGAAACAAGCTCATTTGCTTGACCAGCCACAACATCAGCATAACAGTTACTGCTACATTATTTACCTCCAAGTCTCTTTGCAGAACACCCAATTCCTGTTCCCTGCATCTCCCTCCTGCATAATCTGTTTTTCTTTTTCTCCTTGTAGCTGGAAATCAGCTCACAGACAATTTGTGGGCTATATATATATATATATATTTTTTAATAATTCCAGTCTCGCTCGAGAACTCCGGTCTGACGCACATGGGTTTTCGCGTTATTTCCTTATCACTTCTCGCGTGTGTTTTGTTGTGAAACGTAGTTTGCGGACCAGACAGAGCTGTCGGC